TAGTGGAGTTCAAGAATGAAGTAGCACTTATAGCCAAACTTCAACATCGGAATCTTGTAAAGCTTTTAGGATGCTGCATTCAAGGGGAGGAGAAAATGTTAATTTACGAATACATGCCTAACAAAAGTTTGGACTACTTCATTTTTGGTTCGGGTTCCTGTGTGAGACCTTTTTAATTAAGTTAGTAGGAGTAGCATGAATTCTTCATAAGTTGTTTTCATCTTTCAATTTAACTCTTTTTCAAAAGCTCTTGTTGAACTTTACATTAACATGAAGAAGGTGTTACATGACAGATGATACAAGAAGGAATCTATTAGACTGGTCAAGGCGTTTTCACATTATTTGTGGAATTGCTAGAGGGCTTCTCTATCTACATCAAGATTCTAGATTGAGGATCATCCATAGAGATATCAAAGCTAGCAATGTTTTGCTTGATAATGAAATGAACCCCAAAATTTCAGACTTTGGCTTGGCCAGAACATTCGGAGAACAATCAGATGGAAAAACAAATAGAGTGGTTGGAACCTAGTAAGTCCTATCTCCATGCTACCTAATTTACTACAAAATTCTTGTTGATATAATTTGTCTTATAATTTTTTTTTTTTTTCAGTGGTTATATGGCACCAGAATATGCCATTAATGGACAATTCTCAATAAAATCTGATGTTTTCAGCTTTGGCATATTGTTGCTTGAGATAATAAGTGGGAAGAGGAACAGAGGGTTTTACCATCTCAGTGATAACATTAACCTTATTGGACATGTAAGTATCAAGATTCAACTCCTACTTGGACTTTTTTTTTTTTTTAATAAGGGTGGGCAATGTGGTTCAGACCCCTTGCAAGGAAGGGGTCGGGGTGGGGAGAAGGGTTCGAACCCTTGCCATAGGTTGAGCCCTTTTTGCTTTAAAGCCTTTTTTATTCCACCGGGCCAGATTGCTCTTCTAGAGTCAACACCAACCTTCTTACCTTCCTTTAACCAAAAAATGACATAAAGTTTATAATATGTATTTAGGCATGGAGATTGTGGAAAGAAGGACATCCTCTAGAACTGATTGATTCATTTGGAAAAGAATCGTGCACTCTCTCCGAAGTATTAAGGTGTATCCACATTGGTCTCTTATGTGTTCAACAACATTCCAAAGATAGGCCAAGTATGTCATCTGTGGTTGTAATGCTGAGTAGTGAGACTGAATTGGTACAACCCAAAGAACCTAGTTTTCTTTCTAACGAGAAATTCCCTGAAATTAATCCCTTATTCACTAAACCTGAATCAAGTTCAACAAATGAACATAGTTTCTCAGTATTGGAGCCTCGATGAAGATTACTTGAACGTTGTATGCCTCTTGCTGCTTATGTTATTTAATGTTATTCACGAATGCTTGCCATATAGCCTTAACAATTATTTGTAAAACAAAATTAATAGTGATACTTATCTTGTTTGATCTTTTTTTTTTTTGTTTTTTGATCGGAAAACTTTGCACATATTTTATTCGAAAAATAGCATGAAATAGGAGATTACAACTTAAGCAATAGGCTTTTCCCCTATTACAATATGTGCGAGGCTAGCTGGGACTTCTTCTATATAAAATTCATCAGCTTCAGCATGCAGGGCACGTTTCGCAAGCTCGTGCGCTACCGCATTACCTTCTCGTCGTACGTGTTGGACATGGCAAGAAAGGAACGAGGTCATTAACCGTTTGCAGTCTAACAGAACAGCACCTAATATACATGAAAAATTACCTAATATCTTGTTTGATCTTTAGCACTTCATTGCCCAACATAAAGTCATAAATTACTCTCTCTATCTATATCTATACATGAAAAATTATTTTAAAATTCAAACTGCAAAGTATGGACCCATAGATGAGTGGCAGGCTCTCTCATATTGGGCCCTCTCCTCATCCAAGTATCCCTAAGCCGAAACATCGTCATTTAAAGGTCATCCATAAGGCAGCCCTCCCTGGAACACTGCCATAAAGACTACAGGACAAAGGGAAGAACCCCCCCAAACAAAGCAAGAAATAACCACCGACTTCATGGATCCAATCAGCAGAATCCACCTGCACACTTAGACCATAGACTATTTTCGGATCCCTCATTTTCTCAAGAAAGTGAGGGAATATGAAATCTCTCCTCTCTTTTTACAAGCTGACTCTTCGTCTTCTTCCACGCTGGGGTTTTCAAAGGTCGGATTTTTGGGATTGTTGAGTTCATGGCCCAAGTATCACTAGTGCGGTTATTCATATTGCTGCTCAGTCTCAGTCTCAGCCTCAGATATATGTTTGAAGCAAATTGGTTTCTAGGTATCTATTTATCATTCGGTATGATATCAAAATTGCTTATCGTCTCTGTTTGGTTTCAGAGAAAGTTGGGGAAAAGTGAAAATAATTATCTGGCCCCATTTCGCAGACTAAATTAAGACTTTTAACTGTTGTTATTAAGTCATTTTTGTGTAGAAATTAAGGTCCAACTGCAGTATTTTTTCAGGGTAAGGGACTTCTAGAAAGAGTTGTTACCGAGAATTTCAGGGAAAACTTGCACGCTGATTTCACACTCAAGAGTCAAGACTCTGCATTTGGGAGATTTGTCCTAACCTGCCATTATAATTTTATAAAGGTTCCATTTGTTATTCATGAAAAATTGCAAAACAATGGTTATTCGATTTTTAATGTTTACCATCATCATCCTCTCATTGCTTTTCTTCTCTAGATTCTCATATGGAACAGACACCATCACCCTATCCAACAATCTTAGTGTTTGTTTAAATAAAAATCAGTAAAAAGAAGCGAAGGGAGAGGAGGGAAAGGGATGAAAAAAATTAATGTTAACTTTATTTGAATAAACAAAAGTAGAGGAGAGAGAAGGATAATATTATTATTTAATTAAATAATTTAAAAGAAAAGAAAATAAAATAAAAT